TGCTTTTTCAAGAAAAATTACAAATAAATCTATTGATATTCCGAAAATTTTCAAAATAATTTTCTAAACACTTTATGTTTGGTTGGACAATTTATGAGAAGTGGTTCAACCTCCTGCCGGAATTTTGACTGTCTGTAAAATGGGTTTTTTCTATGTAATTTGCGTGACTTGGGCACCGATTTTGTAGCCAATTATCAATATACTAGAAGTGCGTAATTATATAAATACATATTTACATTTATACAGTGGTTGTCCTAGATCATGTCACGGTGGAGCATCGGAGTTTCCATAAGATAAATCGAGTGTCGATACTATGTTTTGTGAGAGACTGATGCGTTTCCACGAGAGATACGTAAAATACGGAGATAACAACATTTGTTGTCCTTAAGCTTTCTTTAAAAAATTTCAAAGTAGTCTCTGAACTTTTGTCCCGTGTGATTTTGTTCTCAAAACTTTTAAAAATCCACTCGAGTAATACACAATTTGGATCAGGACCATGCGATACATTGATTTTAATTTATAGTTTTGTGATAACTTAACTTAGGTGATAAATTTGATGGACATTTCACAAAAATAAACAAAATAACAAAGCCTCACAAATACTGTCGATTGCTTTAACTGATCGTCTTCTGAATACTAGCATCATAGATTAATCTATTTCACAGTAAATTCTGCCAAAATATAGATTGATATTACATTCTAAAGTTGTATGATGGATGTATACTTTTTGAGATGAACGATTCCTCCGGGCGAAATTGAAATGACACTTTTCGTAGCTGGAAACATTCGAGTCTCGACCAACTGTAGCAGCGATTTTACGATATCGCAAATTTTATTTCTCGTTCGATTCTCAACTGTAAGGGTTACTCTGAAGCGAAACCGAAATGGAACTTTTCGTACCGGGGAAACATTCAAGTCTCGACCAACTGTAATGATTTTACGAGATCGCATCGAATTGCAACTTTTATTTCTCGTTCAATTCTCGAAATGGAACTTTTCGTACTGGGGAAACATTTGAGTCTCGACCAACCGCGGCGATTTTACGATATCACATCGAATTGCAACTTTTATTCTCGTTCGATTCTCGACCAACCATAACGGTTGCTTTGAAGCGAAATCGAAATGGAACTTTCGTACTGGGGAAACAAACCGTGGCCATTTTATGATATCAAATCAAATTGCAACTTTTATTTCTCGTTCAAATCGAATAGCCTCTTCGGATCGATTTCTTTGTGTTAAACTCTAACAAATCTCGCCTTCAAAGGACAAAAGCTCAGAGGAGTGCAGTGACCAGGCCTGCACCTGAACCACGGCCTTGTAACACGGTGACGACGGCCGGTCCGTGAGGAGGTGCAGGCGACACTTGGTGGTCACGTAATCAACGTCCTGAGTCTCCCCTCTTACGACGCCTTTGAAAATCAGGTCGGTGTGGTTCTTCCAGTCGAACTCGATGACCGCGAACTGGGCAAGCCCTCGGACGAGCTCGCTGTGCACATCCTCGATCGGCTCCCAGGCTCCGGCGGGGGGACCTCGGCCGAGAGAGGGAGGACGGCGAGGAAAAGGGTTACGAGGAGGATTTGAGGTCTCATGGCCGTTGTTTCTTCCTTTCTTGACGATGGAATTGATGGTTGCTCGGCAGCAGACTTGCTGTTTTTATAGGCTCTCTTTTGGTCCTAATCCGGAAAAATCATAAGATTTCTGGATTGACACCATGGCTCCTGATGCAAATTTGGTAAACCGATAATTGCTTTTTCATGACTATTATTTATTTTGTTGCCATGTTATCATTATGTTCTGTCAAAGTTTGCAATCCTATATTTGGTCTTGAATGTTCAAACTAGTGTTTACACTAGGGGTGTAAAAAAAACGCGAGCCGACCCGGCCCGACCCGACCCGAAATTTTAGGGTATTTTGAGGTCAGGTCTTATTTTCTCTGGGTATGAATTTTAGATGTGGGTATTTATTAGGATCGGGCCGGGCCATGCTGGGCTGGGCTTTTGTGACCTGGCACCAAATATAACCCTTCCCCCCCTCTCTCTCCCCTTCGCTTCTTCTCTCTCTGGCGGCCGTGAACTTCTCTCTCCCCCCTTTCGCTCTCTCTGCTCCTCCTCCCCCTCGAGTTCGAGTTCGTGGCAATGGTGGCCGTGAAGTTTGCGAACATGGCCGTGGTGGCCTTCGTCCTTGCCCTCATGGCGCTTGCCGTGACAGTCCAGGTCGAGGCCTCGGCGCCTCAGCCTTCTTCTCTTCGCCTCCTTCCTTGAGACTCTCCATCCAGTTCAGCCTCGACCGCGGCAGGAGATCGAAGGACGACCTGATCTTCCTCGCCTCCCACGCCGCTGTCGGGATAGCGAAGTCGTCGATCCCGAACAGCCCCAGGTTCCGGCATATTCGATCGATCTTGCCCTCGCCCCCCTCGACCCGGAATCTCGTCTGCTCGAACAAGTCCAGCGACCGTGTGTGGAGCGAGGCCGAGGCGGAAGACGAGGAGTCGTTGGGCGAGTGCGACAACGAGGATGCGTCGTAGTCGTAGTGCTTTGCCGCGTTCCGACGCTCAAGCCGCCTCTTCGTCGACCCCCAATTCGTCCCGGACTCCATCGGCTTCGCTCTAGAGAAGAATCGAGGCATGTGGCAACCGCATAAGGCTTAGGGTTTTGGGACCCTAAACCCGACCCGGACCGACCCGACCCGATTCTTGGAGTATATGTTGAACAGGGTCTTGGGTTGGGTCGGGTCGGGTCGAGCGTGACCTTGTATATTTCGGGTCGGGCCAAGTATCATGAAAGCCCAACTCGAGCCGACCCATTAACACCCCTAGTTTACACTTTCGAAAATCCACTCAACATATCCATTTCCTTAAAAATTCCAACACCTTAAGCTGAGGCGACCACCGATAGGCATGCGGCCCTGCTGGTAAAGGGATTGGGGGTGGTGGGGACGCTAGTATTACATGAGCGGGGTTTGACTCTCGCGCTTTACAAGAGGCAAAACAAAATTCAGAGAGTGAAGAGAGTTAGAAAAAGGACAGACAAAAAAAAAAAAAGCTGAGATGACCAAAAATTGTTGTTAAATTCGCAATGCTAGCGGCCACATGGCTTGCATGTATAAAAAAGTAGAGGATTCTTTTTTTTTGCTGACTTAGGAAAATAATGTGAGAGTCCTCATCATGATTTTGGCCCAACAAATGCTGATGTGGCAGATCGAAAATAATGTGAGAGTCCTCATTAGGAAAATAATGTGAGAGTCCTCATAATTTGCAATATCAATTATTTTTTCTTTGTACTACACAAAAATTTAGGCCTAATTTAAAAAAAAAAAAGCACCCACTTTAGTAACAATTCAGGCTCAAACTTTTTTTGTCTCATTAAAAAATTACTAATTTTCACTTAAATTCCAAATTTGGCCTGAACCATTTGAAAATTTCACACCATGGGGGCCAGATTTGGGATTAGAGTAAAAGTTAGTGCTTTTTATCGAGACAAAAAAAGTTCGGGCCAAAATTGTCACTTAAGATATAGTTGGTACTTTTTTTTTTTTAATTAGCCCAAAAACTAATATGATAAACTTAATAGTTGTTTCATCCTTGTATTTTTGCAATATCAATGTTTTCATCCTCGCAACTTTCATGTCCTGGACATCGTAAACTTTTTAATTACAAACCTCTTCCCATTATTAAATGTTGTTTGCACACTTTCTTGCAATAGTTATAGTCTCATTTAGAACCAAAAATAAATTAATTAGCTAAGAGTATTCAAAACTTTGGCTCATATTCTGCTATATTTTATTCAAAATTAAGCAAAGCCTACACCAGAAACATGAGGATAGAAAGGGATAAAGATCGATGATCATCCGAAAACACCGTTATCCGACCTGAACCTCACCTTAAACCGGACGATGTCCGGCAAGAACAACTGGAAAAGCAATGTCGATTATCATTTGTAATCCTAGTCCTTGCGTTCGTCGCATCAAGTTGCTACCGGGGAGCACGGCGACATCCTCCACCCCATGGCTACGGGCGAGCTCGTTTTCACTCGGATGCATATCCTTGCCTGCCTGTCTATCTATTTCCTCAGCTGCTCTCTGTCGAACTCTCCTTACTCTATCCCTCTCTCTCCCTCTCTCTCGTCGATGCTTGAACATCGGCTGCGACAGAGCTCGACGCTGCGCCCCAACAGCTCGTCATCGTCAAGAAGACGACCGAGCCAAGATAATTAAGCGAACAATAGCATTTTGTCCATTGAATAAAAATATACTGCCGTCATTCATTGCTTAATTACCGTGGAATTCTTTTGATATTTTTCGAGCCATAGTTGAGGTTGAAATCGGTGTCGGGTTTTCCATGGACTTTTCTCCGGCATTCTCGACATACACTAGCTCATTTCACGTGAACCGTTAGAGCGAATTAACCTCGGACGGGAGTATTTAGTAGTTTTACTTCACTAAGACCTGATCTTACTAAGGCGAATATCAAAACAGGTACCAACAAATCCAAAATTTCAGTGAACCAATCGAGAATCGATTATATATAGTTACACCACCCAATTGCGAAATTTGTAATGATACTTGACTTTTACATCCCTCGAGATGCAAGATGCAAGAACCAATAGCTACACAGATTGGCAAAATTACAGTCTCGTGGACAGAAAAAGTTTGGAAAGTACATATAACGAGAGGATTAAGCAGAATTTAAAACAACATATTTCTTGAATACGTAATTAATTAATTGATTGATTGAATAATGCCATTTTGCCAAGGACATCACACTACAAAAAAAAAGTAATTTAGCAAAAAAAAAAAAAAAAAAAAAAAAAAAATTTTAAAAAAAAAAATTTTTTTAAATAATATATTTTTTTTTATTTTTTTTTTTTTTTTTTTTTTTTTTTTTTTTAAATAAATTTCTCAAAATGTGAAGCGACATCGAATTACGACTTTTATTCCCAAACTTATTCGATTAGCAGAAAAGAAAGATCTTTTGGTAGCAGCAACGTTTTACGGAACCACAATTACACTTTATTCCCTATTCGATAGGACAAAAGCTCCCCCGAAGGACTAAAGCTGCAAGGCTGCGCTTCGCTTCTCAATACAAGGGCCGCGTAACACGGCGACGACGGTTGGGCCATGAGAAGATGCAGGAAGTAGTTGGTGCCGCCATCGGCCTGCAGAGTCTCCCCTCTTGTGATGTCTTTGAAAACCAGGTCGGTGTGGTTCCGGCTGTTGAACCTGCTGACGGCAAACTTGGCGATCGCTTGGACGTGTGGATCGTGCACGTCCTTGATCGGCACCCAGCGTCCGTCCGCCAACTTCCGGCCGACGGTGGCGATGGCCGAGAGAGGGAGGACGGCCAGGAAGATTGTTAGGAGGAGGATTTGAGGTCTCATTGTTGTCGTTTGTTTTCCCCTTGATGATGGTGGGTTTGTGCAATTGATGGTTTGCTTGTAAGCAGATTTGCTGGTCTTATAAGGGCTTATTTTGTTCCTTATATGGATGCTTATCGGATTGACAATTTGACACCATGGCTCCTTGCAGACTGAAAATGCAAATTTGGTAACCGAAGAATTTTTTCCTTCTAATGACTATGATTTTAAATATTATTGCCATATTTAATTATCTTCTGCCAAAGTTTGCGATCCTATAATTTAATGATGATTACATGGATGTTCATTGGCTAGCCACAGATTCAAGTGGGATGGCCCTGCTTTTTCAAGAAAATTACAATTAAATCTTGTGAAGTGGGGAAAAAGTGTTAGAAAAGTCCTAAATTTTTTGATGTAATGTCAATTCAGTCATTCCGGCGAATTTCAGTTGGATATTGCCAACATGGACGACAGCCATTACTTGGCACGATTGACGCTGACGTGGATAACTTTGAATAATATTTTACTATTTTTTTCGTATTATTTATTTATTTTTCTTTTCTTTGTTTTCCTTTCTTTCTTTTTATCTTTTTTTCCTTCCCTTCATTCTTCCTCCAACCGGTCGTCAGACCTCGGCGACCGGCTAGAGGCCTAGGCCGGCGAGCCTCGCCCTCTCCGGATGGCCGCATTGGTGAGGGTCGAGCCTCGCCTTCTCCGTATCTGGGCAGGGTTGAGCCTTGCCATGGCTGGGCGAGGTCAGAGCCCTTGCTAGTGGCGGGCCGAGGCACGACCTCGCTGGTCCAAGCCTCTGGCTAGTTGCCGAGGTCCGACGACTGATTGGAGGAAGAAGGAAAGAAAGGGAAAAAAAATAAAAATAAATAAATAAATAAAAATTCTAAAATATTAAAATATTATTAAAAGTTGTTTACGTCATTGCCAGGCGGCCATTTATGTCACATAGGTTGGTTGGCATCCACATCAACAATATCTGGTCAAAATTGACCGGAAAGACTGAATTGACACTGCGTCAAAAGGTTTATGACTAAATTGACATCAATATAATAGGTTTATGATTTTTCTGACATTTTTCCCTGAGAAGTGGTTCAACCTACTGCCATAATTTTGATTGTTCGTAATTAGAAGTTTCCTATATAATTTGCGTGACTTGGACACCGATTTTGTAGCCAGTTATCAATACTGGGACGGCGTAGTCATATATATAGAATGATCAAGCTAAAACCATATATATAGAATTGGGACGTCGTTTTTAGTAGTGTCGGACATGTTTGCCGCAAGCCTTGCCTAGAAAGGTTGGTGATGACTGAACCGTCATGTCAGCGATTTTCAATCGAAATTAGCTGGATGGACTATATTGAAAAATTGTCATAAGGTTTAGAACTTTATCAGCTAAATTTGAAAATTTAGGAATGAATTGACAGCCTTACAATAAGTTTCTCTTATTATTTTGACCTAAAAAGAAAGGAAAAGAAATAGAGGAAAAAAGATTTTGCTAATATAGGAAGATAACGTGATAGTCCACATCATTATTTTAACCCAATAAATACTGACGTGGTAGTCCGCATTAGAAAGATACATGTGATCCAGCGATACACCTATTAGAATGATTCCATTGAACAAATTTTTAAAAGTTTAGGGATTAGATTAATAAAAAAAAATTAAAAATCACATTTAACATTGAAAAAAGTGTTCAGAAGCTACTCACATCATAACCCATAAAATGCAAAATCAGGACCATGCGATGCATGGATTATGATGAATAATGTTGCTATAACTGAACTTAGGTGATAAATTTGATGAATATTTTACGATATCAACTTTTTTCTTTGTATTACGTATAGTCTTATTTACAAGTAAAATCAAGTTAGCTCAAATATAATCACTTAATACCAATTGATCACTAATGCAATGTAATTAATACATGATACACATTTATAATGTTCTATATAGTTTTTACATTAGTCTTGACAAGGACGATAGATAACTAGTAGTAAGTATGATAAGAGGACCGTCGAACAAAGTTCATTTTCAATCTTTTCCGTTGAAATATAAATTTACTGTTGTTGATGAATGAGGTTGAAATTAATACATTTTAATTTTTGAAACCAGGTGGTCAAATTATGTAAATAACTCAAAAGCTTTTACATGAAGGCTCCGTTCGTTTGGCGGAAAATATTCTCCCGAAAAATATTTTCCGGGTTTTCCGGTGTTCGGGGGCGGAAAACGTTTTCCGTGGGAAAATATTTTCCTTCCCCCCTCACAAAATAGCCTAAGTCTACGGAAAATGATTTCCGCTTCTTCAAAAGCGGAAATCATTTTTCGGAGCTTCTTCTTCTTCTTCTTCACTAAGGTTGCTGGCCGCCGCTGCCGCCGCCGCCTCCGAGAGCCGGCCGCCGCCGCCCCGCCCGCCGGTCGCGGCCGCCGCCGCCGCGATCGCCGCCGCCGCCGCCGATCGCCGGCGCCGCCGGACACCGGACGTTGGCCGTCGGTCGCCGGCCGCCGGCCGCCGCCGCCGATCGCCGCCGCCCGCCGCCGCTAGCCGCCGGACGCCGCCGCCGCCGCCCGCCGCCGGTCGCCGGCAAAAAATATTTTCCGAAACTTTTTCATATTGGCCGCCAAATACCGGAAAATTATATTCCGGAAAAACATTTTCTAGGAAAGTGACTTCCGGGAAAATATTTTTCAAAAAGAGAATATTTTCCACCAAACGAACGGAGCCGAAGTTCTGACTTTAACTAAATATTATTTAAATAGAATAAAATAGATTATGATTTTGTCCCTCAATTAGTATAACAAAAGTTGAAAATTGGAGGAAAGTAGAGGTGATGTACACCTAATTGTTGTTTTCCTTTTAGAACTCAGACATTTACTTATGTTAGGTTGATTTCAACTGGTAAACAATCCTTTGAACAATTCGTGTTGTGTTGATTAACTACGATACATCTTGTGTGAAGAGATTTCCTCTCTGCTAACATCTCAATAGGTCCACACTAATTGGCTAGCTAATGCCGGATCTTCGAGTTGCGGGTAACGTGAATTAGTTATGACTCAATTCGAACATTCCATAGAGGTATATGAGACCCGTAGGGCAACACCGAAAAGGAGTTGCTAGGGCCAGTCGCACCTTCTTGTTCATTTTACTTGTATAAAATGGCTAACATGAAAATGTGAGAAATTAATTGGAAAATGAGGGAAGTACTTAGAAATTAGTTTTGCTAATCGATATAGGGTCATATTTTTCTCTACCCATCTGATCAGGGGTTACGAGTTCCGGACATGATTTAGATGCCAAATTGAACATAATTTTAATATGAGCGATGTCTATAATTTCAAGTTTGAATCCACTAATCAGAAGAGTGATCGGATGAAACTTTTGTCAATCTTGATAGAAGGAAAATACGACAAATGTATATGAACTATAAATCTATTTTTTTTGCCACAAAAGAAAAGGCTTTTCGTTTCCAATAAAGTGGCCATGATGTAATCATCAGAATTTTGGAATTGGATATACAAAATTTGCAACCAAAAGAAAAAATAAATTGAAGTAATTTTGAAAATGCAATAACAAAATTTAAGATGATTGTGAGTCCAGCTCGATCACCCAAATGGGTGGGTTTGGTCTAGACTCTAAAGTCTACCATGAAAATGTCAAATTCATGTCAACTGGAAATTTTGTGCAACTTTCATATCACAGGCGGACTGGGATAAGAAAGTAAAATGGACTATGATTATGTCATCTTACTAGGAACTCCCAAAAGTCTGGATATGGTAATCATTCGAATTACGAGTTTGAATATAGTAAACTTACAGGGTAGCTAGTGGAGAATGTAAAATGCGATTTCGCCTCAATAAAATGACTAAATACGCTAATAAACAACAACGACGGTCTAGTTCAATCAGCGAGACGATTGATCCTACAAGACCAAACTTCCAAGTTTTGATTGTTCAAGTCATAAGCTAGCGGTTTGGTCTAGACTCTCAAGTCTCCCATAAAAAAAGTCTAGCTCATGTCAACTTGAAATTCTGTGGAACATCCATATCACTAACTCTCATATCACGGACTGATTAGGATAAGAAAGTAAAAAATGACTACGATTATGTCATCTTGCGAGGAACTCCCAAACGTCGGGAGATGGTAATCCAGTCGAATTACGAGTTTAGACATAGCAAACTTACCGGGTAGCTAGTTGATGCGATTTTGCCCGAATAAAACGACTAAACATGCTAATAGAGAATAGTAACGATCTAATTTAATCAGCGAGGTGATTGGATTCTTTTCCGAATTCCAAATTTAAATGAGATTAGTATTCCACGGGGACAAACTTCCAAAAGTTTTGATTTTTCAATTCATAAGATAGCGGTTTTGGTGTGATGTCCGCATGTCATTATTCTATTTAAATGTAATTTTTTCTTATGATAAGAACAAGAGGGGAGCATATGTTCGCATGGACCGATTAATAATGGATATGCTTCGTGATATTCAAATCCCAAATATTCTTGATCAATGATTTCGTGCGGATGACCTCATGACGTGGACGGTGCGTATTCCCAATGTTAGAACCCTTTTGCTGCATCAATCTTTTGCTTTTTTTGGGAAATAAAAAGCAACCTTTGACCCTTATTATGATCGAAATATCACTAATTTTTTTACTAATTCTAAGTAATTATCCGAAAACAACCTAAGTCTTTTCACCACTAAATTTTTTTTAAAAAGAAATATACATTAGATATGATACCCTTTAATTATTTTTTTTTTGAAAAGATTATGATGGTTAGATATAAAAAGATTAGACCCGTCAAATAGGTGGATCGGGTCGAAAATAGTCCGATTCAAATAGACTGATTTAACTTGTTTTGACCCATTTTTATGTAATAAAAATCTATTGATGCATACTTGATCCAACTCATATTATTAAAACATTTCCACATTAAACTCAAGTTAAAAAAAATCAGTATGGAGTGAGCGAGCGGAATTAAGCGAGGGCGAGAGACAATGAAGAGAGAGT